TTATAAAATCTTTTACAAGTACCATTATTTGATTTATCGATTTTATGATTATATCTTATTACCTTTAAAAAACAATATGATATTCGAAATATATCCAGAAAATAAAATCATTATATATATTACTGTTTTTTGAATTTGATTCACCTTTACTATTCACGTTTACTATAATTATGTGCTTAGATATGATCTTTTAATATTTTATCAAAGGTTAAGCTACAACATTTTACATATGAATTTGGGAAGAAAATCTTTAATATATAATGAGCAATAAAATCAACTTAATTTATATAACTGCTAGATTATTTACATTAACTAAATCGAAAGATAAAATCTTTTAAAAAAATAGATGATAATGTACTCCTTATTTACCGCCTAATTTAGTGATACATGACACACTTTAAGGGATAACTACTGTAACTGTACCTATTTCATTGAAAACAATGTTGACGTAAACTTTTTTATTCCGTTGTTATTTTTTGTTATTAAATTAGAATCATTATTAGATCACAACATAAAAAATGTTCAAAATAATATTAAGAAAAAAAGAAGACATAGATGACTTAAAGTAATTAGGTAATCACTTATATCTTAATATATCAGCACCAATTGAGATAAAGTGTAAAGAAATATCGTTTTATTGAATATATTAAGAACATAAACCATAAAAAACCCTAATAGGTTTTACCGAAACTAAATAGGCTCATTATCAAATAAAAACATAACAAAATAAACGATGATTAATGTGATTAAAAATAGCTAATCCTCCAATGTAAGATCTACAAAATCTATATATTTTGTTATCTTGGGGACTTTTTCTGGAAGTTTGATGAAGGAATCTACCGACCATGTATCTTCATTTAACACAATATCATATAGCGTTTCAGCCACCTCAAGAACACGTTTCCCATTCTCATTCAATGGCAACTTATTGAACATGCACTGCTCTTTGTAGTAAGAGTTTAGCTCAAGTCGGAAGATATTTTTAAGAAATTTTGAAACAGTTATATCATCAATTAAAGACTTGGCTTGGGTAACACCACAAACGATGATTAGTCGTTTCATAAATATCCGGAATTCGATTAAATCTTTTGCATGACTAATATCATCACCAAATATTCTGAGAAGAGGCCCATCATTTGGGTTGTCATCGTAGGGAATTCCGTTATCCATACAATACACCGTAACTTCATCGGCAACAAGCATTTCAACGGTTGGTAATTGCCCACATTCAAGCAATATGTCACTTATCTTTTTTTCCCCAATACAATATAGTAAATGATTGATAAATAACCTAAATTCAAATATGTCAAACTCATGATCGAAGATTGCTTCCGGACTCGAAGGCATTTCTCAAAAAAAAAATTAAATGATAAAGAGAAATTTTTTAGGTATTCACTAAAAGAGAAAATGGTTGAGAGGGAATAATTGTGATGCTTTAAATTGGAGATTTAACAATGTATATAAAACATAAAAATGGCGCCAAAATGAAAATTTACACACATTTTTTCGCACCACAATGTGTTAACCGATTTTATCCCATATATTACGTGATTCAATATTATATTTATTTGACTTAAAACGGAATGCATCGAATAGAAAAAATACATAATTGGCATGGTCAATAAAGTAAATTGTTAATACGAAATTAAAAAAAAAAAAACTGATCACATTTAAACCTTTAATACACATTATTTTTTGCCTTTAATATAAATTTGAAAGACTAAAACAAATATAAATTGCTATATATTAATAATTAATAAAATATACCAGCTAATCCACGACACAAATAGGCGAAGATAATAGGTTATAACATAAGCGTATGTGTGTCATTACATAAGGTATTGTATACAATATTGTTTTGACTTAATAAATGTATTTCAGGTTATCAAAAGAAAAAAGTAGATTTCTGACTATATAAACAGATTGATTAGTAAAAAAATGATACAGAATAAATTACGGAAAAATATTGTTTACAAAATTGTAATGTGAATTTATTCTGTATTTGTAATATCAGTTATGAAAATCGGTTATTAGTAAATCAAGGAAATTCTATTCAATTTCATATCAATCTAATATATGACTAGTTCATGTTTGGAGGGAAGTTATTGTTAACATTATGGCGCCACATTTTGGTGGGAACAATCGTGCTTTTTGTCGCCATTTAAATGCTATATATTCATAGCTAAATAACCCAATTAAAGCATCATCACCTGGCAATCGAATTCTCTTTTCAATTGTTCTTCCCACGCTTTAAATTTGTCTTTTTAAACCCCTTAAATTTTCATCTTATTCAGAAATGGCTCCTAATCCTGATGCAGTATTTGATCATTTGTTTGACATCATTCATTTTAGTTTATTCATTTCCCACTTACTGTATCGTATTGGAGAAAAAAAGGTTAGGGACACATTGCATGCATGTGGGAAAATATCTACTGTTGAAATGGTTTTTGCCGATGAAGTTACAGTGTATCGTATGGACAACGGGTTTCCATACGATGACAATCTGGTTGGAGGGCCTCCTCCAGGAATACTAGGTGATGTTGTCAGCCAAGCCAGAGATTTCATTCAATTTAGAATCTTTTTGAAAAGACTAATAGTTACTTGTGGTATAACACAAACTGAGCATTTGATTATCGGCCAGCCAGAATTTCTTAAAAAAAAATTTCATCTCGAACACAATTCCTACTATAGAGAACATTTTATGTTCGAATACATGCCATTGAATGAGAACGGAAAGCGTGTTCTTGAAGTTGCTGAAACGCTTGATGATTTGGTGTCAAATGAAGAAACATGGACACCTTTAAAGTTCACCAAGCGTTCTGAAAAGGTCCCCAAGATAACAAAATTTATTGACTTTGTTGATCTTACGTAGGAAGATTAGATGTTCTTTTATAAATTAGTTACCTTTTTAAATTATATGTGATTTTTATTTCATTAGAATTTTAATGTTTATGTAATTTTATTATTTTCAATAAATTTGGTCATGACCAAAGATTATATGTGTAATAGCTTAAATTACTGTGTCACATAGATCATCTAATTTATTATTAGTTTTTTTTCATGACCAGACAATTACTACTATGTCAGTTATATGCATAACACAGGAGCATGACATTACTTATTGAAATATCTATTATTTTTTCAATTTAGTAATTTCTTGTTATCCGAAAATTAAGGAGTCATTACTTATCAAAATAAAGAGCCATGACTTATCAAGTTTGAGATTCTATAATGATATTTTCTATTTTTAAGTTAACAAAACTATGAAAGTTCCATAACATGCGATATATTAGGAGTTATGCTCGGAATAAATTAGGTAAATGTGTACTTCCATATCTTTAATTTTGTATATATGACTTTTTTTTGCTTAAAAAAAAATACAGATTATCTAAATATCGTTGGTGAAAAATGTGTATATGTGTTATTACCAAAAATAATGTGTCACATAGTTCATTATTTTTTATTTATGACCAGACAATTACTACTATGTCAATTATACGTATAACACTTACAATAAAACTAATATTTTTTTCCTTTGTATCAGTCAAATTTAAAATATAATAATAGTAAGTATTATCAAATCCTCAAAATAACATGGAAAAAGAATATTTTAATACTATAAATTCGTACATATACATATATATATCAAGCAAGCATTTCTTATTCTGCGATAATTAAGGATTTAACAAGCAAGCATTTCTTAGCATTGACTGTTTGAGGAAGTTTTTGATACGTATTGGAATGTGTTTGGTTCTTATTCTGCGATAATTAAGGAGTTATCCTAAATTTAAGGTAAGTTTGATCAATCCTAATTTAGGAGTTATGGCTTATCCAACCTTTTCTAGGAATTTTAAAATTTTAAATCTTTTGCGTGACTTTAATCTAAGAAGTTTATCTTCATAACGAAAATAAATAAAAAAAAAAATAAAAAATAAAAAAACAAATTAAGAAGGTTATCACTATAATATGCGATATACTAGGAGTCATAATCAAAACAAATAATGTATCTGTGTAATTCCATATCTTGTATTCTATTTTTAAATTATATATGTACTACACACACACACACACACACACACACACACACACACATATATATATATATATTGTTTTGACCTTCTTTAGTTTATGTAATTACCAAAAATAACGTGTAACATAGTTTATCTGTTTATTTAATTTCAAATACAACATAGTTGATAACAAAGGTTTATATGTGTTATTACCTAAAATAATGTGTCACATGTATCTTAATTTTTTGTTTCATGACCACACAATTACTACTATGTCAATTATACGCAATACACTTACAATATGACTAATATTTTTTCCTTTATTTCGGTCAATTATACGCATAACACTAATATTTGACTGATATAAAGGACAAAATATTAATTTTAAATACAACATAGTTGATAAAAAAAGTGTATACGTGTTATTACCTAAAATAATGTGTCACATGTATCATAAATTTTTGTGAAATGACCAGACAATTAATACTATGTCAATTATACGCATAACACTTACAATAAGACTAATATTTTTTCCTTTATTTTAGTCAATTACTAATGGAGAGGTTTTAGTTGAGAAGAGTAGTCTAATCAATATCGTATGTTCAAAGTAATACAGTTAGTTCTTGTTATCCTCTTTTAAAGAGTCATGACTTCTCAATCAATTTTTTTTTTTTTAAATTTTGAGATTCTATAATAAAAGATTTCCTAATATTAAGGTAACACAACTAGGAAGTTTCCATAACATGCGATATATTAGGAATAATGCTCCGAATAATAAGGTAATTATGTAATTCCATAGCTTTAATCCCATGACTTAACAAACTAAACATTTAGTAACAATCATTTTAAAATAATTTAAAATTGTAAAATATTTTACTATGGTCTTCAATATATATATATATATATATATATATATATATATATATATATTATTTGTTTCATCTGAAAATAATAAACAATTCATCTAAAGGGTTTGCGTAATCGGAAAAAATGGAGACGGGAGGAGAAGAAGTTGTTGATATAGAGATTAATAATCAAGACCAAGCTGATTGCTTTGAATTTGAGGTTTGTGACATTACAACATTTTTTCAATGTTTTGGTGATTAACAAATTCAATTCATAAGTTTTTTTTTTAATTTATAAAATTTAATGATTTATTCTTATTAAATGTTTTCTTTTGACATGGCTCATATGACAAGCTTAAAAATCAAGAGGAAACTGTGGATCATGGAGAGGTACTTACTTGGTTAATTTATTGGTATCACACGTAGATGAAAGTGATGTTGACACGGACACCGACACTGATGAGATTCCAGAAATTTTTCTAGACCTTGACGTCTGGGAAAAACTTGGAAGGAAGCTAGAAGACTTTACTTTAGCAGAAATGAAACAATTGTCCTTTAGAAGCCACCGCACGTACATTCAATTCTACAGGATGTATGCTAAGGTTAAAGGGTTTGGAATCCGTCGCAAGCATACAACAACAAGCAAAATTGACGGGCATCCAACTTCCCAAAAGCTTTGGTGTAATAGGGAAGGGTTTCGAGAAGCAAAGCATTTGAATAGACCTGATAGGAAGCGTAAGGAAAAGGCAGTAACACGCTGCGGTTGCAATGCATCAATCAGTTTCAAATGGGATCACAGATTTGATTCATGGTACATGAAAGATTTTATACCTGACCACAATGGGCATGACCTGATTCCTATGAATCAGATGTATTTCGAAAGGTCAGTTTTGAAAATATGATAAACCCTAAAAAAATTGTTATTACATGTATCATATTTTAAATTATTTATGATTTATTATGTATTTAAATTTATGACAGGAGCCATAGAGAAGTCACCGAAGGTGATAAGTTTCGTATTAAAGCTTTGATGAACTCTAGAGTGAAACCGTCCATCACAATGAGGAATTTGGCACAAAGTGCTAGGGGAATACGTGAAGTTGGATTTCTAAAAAAAGACTTGTACAACACCTGTGAGAAGTTCAAAAGAGAAGAAATAAAGGACGGAGATACAAAAACTGTGTTAGCTTATTTACTTGGGAAAATAGCCTCAGACCCATCTTTTTTTCTTAGATACACACGAGATGACCATGATGGGATAGACAAAATGTTTTGGTGTGATGGAATATGCCAAGCAGATTACAAGGCTTTCGGGAAGGTAATAGCGTTTGACACTACTTACAAAGTCAATGCATACCAGAAACCATTCGTTGTTGTCGTTGGAGTAAATCATCATAGGAAGACCGTACCCTTAGGTGTTGCGTTAATTGCAAACGAAACAACAGACACATATATATGGGTGCTAGAACAATTGAAAGAGGCCGGTGGCAATGTTGCTCCATATACTATTATCACAGATGGGGACAAGGCCATGGCTGCAGCTATTACGGAGGTTTTCCCACGTGCACATCATAGGTTATGTCTGTGGCATCTTATGCGCAACATCAAGGGCCACACAAACAAACGGTTTTGCAGTGGTTTTATGAAATGTGTAGACGGTGCTCGTATACCAGCTGAGTTTGAAGAGGCTTGGGAAGACTTAATGAAAGCATACGAAGCAGTGAGAGATAAAAAGTGGGCACAAGATCTGTACAAGGACAAGGAAAAATGGGCGGAGGCTTTTATGGTGGGACAATTTTATGCAGGTAAGTATATTAAGAACTTTATGTAATAACACCTATATTTTACGATCATTACATATTATAATTTTATATCGCTTATTATGTTTAAATAGTGTTTGATCATTACATATTTCACCAAAATAACACTTTGGTTATATGTATATTTACTAATACGTCAATAAATATTAATTGTTGTATTGAATGTAATCTACAGTACGATAATTTCTCATTACATAAAGATTGTCAGATTAATATTTGCGTATGAAATCGTAAGTAAACCCAAGTGTATTTCTAAATCTTTATTTCTACATATATGTGATTTTGTTGATTACAATATTGGTTAATACACATTTGTTCCCAGGCATGATAAGTACTCAAAGATGTGAGTCCATGAATAGTACATTGAAAACGGTCATAACTTCAAAAGTAATGTTGTACCGTTTTGTGGAGTTGTATGACAAAGTCCTAGAGCATATATGATTTGAAGAAGATAAAGATGATTACATCTCTACACATACATTTCCTGTAATTACTGGGGTGTTACCTGAGATAAAGACACAAGCAGCACGAACCTACACAAGGAACGTGTACGAATTGTTTTTGAAGGAACTAAATTTTGAATCAGGACACATTGTTACCAAGACTAAGGAAGAAAAAGGACATCGTGATGGGGCTTCAACCACTTTTTGGTTAAACAACTGTGTGAACAAAGATTGCAATTACGTTGTCTGTTACAACAAGAAACTACAACAAATGGTTTGTTGTTGTATGAAGTACAACTCCATTGGGTTACCATGTCGACATATGTTTGCTGTAATGAAGTTCACTGGAATGGTTGAGATACCATCTGGCTGTATTCTTTGTAGGTGGACAATCAGAGCCAAGGTTCATGTGAAGAACACATTCAAGGATCATGATTTTCAGAAGAGAAACGACCATGCATCAGCAAATGGACGGTATGCATTCCTAACTGGTTTAAGTGCACAACTTTGTAGAATGATTTCTTCATCGTATGATCGATCAACTTGGGTGAGAGACAAGTTAGCAAAAATGCTCTTGGAAATAGAAAATGAGAAAATAAATCCCAAGGATAAGGACATCATAAAAGATCAAAAGGTTAAGAAAGGAAAAAGCAGGGGTAAACCCAAAAAAAGTGAAGTCAAAACTACTGGGAATGAAAATATCGACACTGGGGTTCCTGTTATTGGTCGTGATGTTTATGATATCACTCGCGTGGTTCGTAATGTTGCAGCAACATCTGAAACAAACCCGTCACCTGTCAAAAGTGGTGGTTTTGTAGAGCTATTGAAAAAATTCCTGCCAAGGACATACAATACTGGTGATGCAGCTAACGCGACCGATAGTTATGAAGTCAGTGCATTTGAGAAGTTTCCCACCATATTTGATTGGGACCCAAATACGGATTTTCAGATGCCATAGTTTGTTTTTATTTTGAAATATGACTGTTTAAAGGTTTTTGATGAACAGGTTGATGAGGTTTTTTTTTTATCCAGTGACAAAGGGTATTGACCTTTACAGTTATATGTGATTGCATTATTTGAGTTTTATTTTATTTGGTACTTTAAGAATCGCATTATTTTTTTCCACGTTTATAGTTATACTGTTTGAATACCTTATATAGCACTTTTGGCGTTGACATTTAAATTTTTTTTCCGAGGAAGATTATTATCTTAAATTAAATACTCACTTAATTTTTGAAATACAAATACAGAAGAATCTTATTTGTGGAGTGTTTATTCATATTGAATACCAATTGGCAATAGCATTAACATTTATATGTTATTACCGAATCATCTTTGTTTCATATTTATTCCGTAAAGCAGTACTCGTTCAACGGTGTTTTCTAAATTGTTTGCCAATGACTGATACATCTATTTATGATTACCTATTTTTTCACTAAAACTTTATACATATATCTTTATTGAAGTTTAAAAAGTATAGATTTATTAAAAAAAAAGTACTATATGAAAAGATTTTTTTTTAAAAAATAGTATTATATGGAGTATTTATATCTTATTACCTTAAGTGTTTCAAGAAAAAATATCTTATTACCTTAAGATCTGTATTTCAAGGAGTATTTACTCAATCACGCCAACCTTTTTTTCTATTGTTTAGTAATGACTGATATCTGTATTTTGGATTACCTTTTTTTTCAATGAAAGTTTTCCAATTTTCTTTTTCCCAATTTATAGAAAAGTGCATGTTCAGTTTAAATTAAGTATTATATGAAAATATGTAGGAAAAGAAAATGGTATTATATGAAATTGAATACTTACTTAATATTTGATACGGAGTATAAAAATATTGAAGATTCTTTATATGTTGTGAATGTTTCCAAAAAATTAGTAAAATAACAACAAGGTATTTACAGAAAAAAAAAGGAAAACAAAAATAAAAGTTTGAAGTAACCAAATACAAAAAAGTGTTCCGGATTTTTCGTGTTTGCAGTTGCCAAACATTAAAAAAATAATTAAAAAAAAAAATAAAACAAAATTTACAACCGTCAATTTCAAAGATTTAACTTTTTTGTGAAATGACCTTTTATTCATATTCCTAAAAAAGTCAGTTATTATTCACTCCATATTTATCTCTCTCCATTAATGTCTTTCTCTCTTTAAATTTCCCTCTAGAAATACACATCAAATTAGAGGGCTAAACACGGTGAAGCAGAACGATTGTGACGGCAACGACAACGGCAACGGCAAGAGTAACTAAGTCACATTCACAAATTTTACTTTAATTTTTGTATAAAGTTTAAGTAAATTTGTGTTATGTTTATCTTTTTTTTTTTGTTTATTTTGTTTATAAATTTTTTTTTATATAATCTGTATAAGTTAGAATTATTTACCATGCACTTGTTTTGTTAATGTGTAGATAAAATTTAATTTCCGTCATCTTTAATTGTGTTGCAATTTTTTCGTTTTTTGGTTCACTTGGGATTTATTTTGTTCTGTTTTATTTATTTATTTATTTTTAAATTTGTTTTATTTATGTTTTTTTTTATCTGAGATAATGACCAAAATTTTGGGTTAGTGATTCAGTTGGGATTGGATATGCCTTTTGTTGTCTTCGTTTTTTATTTACAAATTATTTGAGGAAAATGTATCTTCAATTTTGAAATAATGTTACTTCAAAACTATAAAGTGTAAATGTGTACTTCAAAAGTTATATGGGTTGTATGTGCGTTTGTAGAAATTTTAATTTACATGCAATTGGTTTGTTTAGAAAAATTGATTTTTGTAAGTGTGATATGCTAGTGAAATGTCTTTCTTCACTCTCTTTGTTTAGAAAAAGTGGAATAGTTTATTTGTATGATAATTGACAATGATTTTTGTCTTCGTAACATTGGTAAAGGCAAACATGTCTACAAGGAAAAAGAAGTCAGTACCTACTATTGCATCTGCACCTGCAGAAAAAACATTGAGGGCATTCTCTACACGAGGTTCCTTAACAGCGACGGTATAAATTTATATGCTTTTGGTTTCATGTTGTTATTTTTCCATAATGTTCAGTAATTTAAAAGTTAAAAGTGTTAAAATTATCAGTATGTAGGGACTTGGAACTCATTGTGTAAACTTGAAGAATTTGTGTCATTAGTTAGAGGTTTTCCAAGAGAGAAAAAGGATAAAGTAGAAGCTATGAGGTTTGGGTTTCTGTTACACTACAACACTAAGACAACAAGAAAGACTATGTGCAGGTGGGTTGTAGACCACTTTGATCCGTCTACAAAGACATTAGGGGTTTATGGGGATAAAATACAGATCACAAACACCCATGTTGAGTACCTCTTGCGATTTAAGGATCATGGCTTTGATATTGACAATGTGGAGTTAGCTAATGAGAATGAAGTTGATGAACAACTTTTGAGGTTTATAGGACTAAAAGTGCAAGGCATGTCATCGGAACTAAGGAAAGTTGCGCATGACGATCCAAATTTTGAGCGTATGTTTGTTATTTTTGTCATGAATGCCCTTATTTGCCCAAGAGTGGAGGAAAAGGCAAAGAAGGGATGGCTTCATCTGGTTTTCGATGTTGATGGTATACGACATTGGAATTTTGCAAAGTTTCTGCTAGATAATTTGGTTATAGCTATAACAGATTTCAAATCCAAAGACAAACCTGAACATTTGGGAGGCTATTCCTTGTTCTTGATGGTAAGCTACTTCTTACAACTCTAAAAAATTAAATTTGTTCTGTTTTGCATCTAATGTCTACTTAGGTTATACCAATTAATAAGGTTAATGATTACAATACAATTCAGCTTAAATGTCCTGTATTTTATATGTTAAGTGCTGACAAATGATATGTCTAGTGATTACCAAAAATATATTTTCCTGTAAATTACACTTTCTCTGTATAACTTTATTGACATATTATATCTTTAGGGATTACTTATTCCTGTTTGAAAAATTATATATGTACACCCTGATGTTATATCTGTTGTTTCCAAATTAAATATAGTTTTAAGGTAATCTTTTTTATGATTTAGGTAATGACAGATGCTACATTGTTTTGATTACCAGTAACACATTGTTTGTAATTCTTAGTCTATCATGGAACTCCCATATGCATGTTTACCAAAGTGGATATAGATGTAATGTCCTGTATTCAACGCATTAGGTAATGACACTTGATGAATTTGTCGATTACCTGTTTTGAAATTTTACTTTATCATGTACTACACTGTATAAAATGTTTGTTGTGTACACACTTATGTTGTAGTTGATGATTACCAAAGTGAATATAGATGTAATGTCATGTATTCAATGTATTAGGTAATGACAGTTGATGAAGTTGTCGATTACCTGTTATGAAATTCTACTCTATCATGTATTGCACTGTATAAAATGTTTGTTGTGTACACACTTATGTTGTAGTTGATGACTACCAAAGGGAATATAGATGTAATGTCCTGTATTCAATGTATTAGGTAATGACAGTTGATGAAGTTGTCGATTACCTGTTATGAAATTCTACTCTATCATGTATTGCACTGTATAAAATGTTTGTTGTGTACACACTTATGTTGTAGTTGATAAGTACCAAAGGGAATATAGATGTAATGTCCTGTATTCAATGTATTAGGTAATGACAGTTGATGAAGTTGTCGATTACTGTTTTGAAATTCTACTCTATCATGTACTGCACTGTATAAAATGTTTGTTGTGTACACACTTATGTTGTAGTTAATTATTACCAAAGGGAATATAGATGTAATGTCCTGTATTCAACGTATTAGCTAATGACACTTGATGAAGTTGTCGATCACCTGTTTTGAAATTCTACTCTATCATGTACTCTCTGATATCATGTATTTACATAATATGTTTGGGGATTACCTATGTACTGCATTTGAAAATAATGTCTTGTCTAAACCCCTAATCAAAGTGTGATTGTTATTTGTGTTAAAGGTAATATTTTGTGAGTTTTCCCCTAGAGATGGACTGTATGGTATTTGGAAGTATGATTTACCTCGTATTAGGGACTGGAGTGATTCGAACTTGAAGAAGTTGCATGATTTAATCAGCGGTTTGAAGGATGGCTACCAGATAAGTAAAGTAAGTGCTAATATGTTTGTTTATAATATGTTTGTTTATAATCTGTTTGTTTGTACATTAATTTTTGTGTGCAATGCAGTTAATGGGGGTGATTGACAAGGAAAAAGCACAAATTGTTGGAAAGGCTCCACCACCGGTTGAAGAGATGATCAAGACAGGGTTTCACTTAATTCAGGATAAGATTCATAGATGGGGTTCAACCACGAATGAAATGTGGAGGTTGTTGGGGAATTATCTAGCAGACTTGAACGCGACAAGAAGCGAAGAAACTGTTGATGAATCGAAGTTGAGAAAGAAAGGTAGGGGGAAAGAAAAAAATGAAGAGGTTGAAAGTGCAAGTGACTATGAAGATGAGCATGATACCGGTGCGGAAGGATTTGCAGATGATGATGAGAGCGAGGAAGAAAAAAAATCCAAAAAAAAGGCAAGGGGAAGCAGGTCGTGGATGAGGCAGTTGATGAAGAGAGTGAGGAAGAAGACAAAACAAAAAAAAAGAGGCAAGGGGAAGAAGGCCAGTGTTGATGAAGAAAGTGATGAAGACGAGGTTCAAGAGGAGGCTGAAAAAAAGAAGACAGTGTCGAAAGGAAGGAAGAAGCAAAATGTGAAGGAAGTTCAAGAAAAAGTGCCCGAAACAAGAGGGAAGGTGAGAAAGAGAACATTGTTTGAAGACAGTGTAGAGGTTAGAGTTGAGGAAGAACAAACAAAAAAAATCAAAGAGTGTGAAGGAGAAAAAGATTGGGAAAAATGATGACAAGGAGGTAGAAGTGGGTCTCCCTCCGGTTGTACTGATGGATAAGGGGGGTGAAGGGGATGAAACAAAACTGCTAAGCGTTGAATATATCATTTCCCGAGTAACATCAT